GAGTACGGGTTTGTCGTGTGTTTTGGAGCAGATTTTATTCACTGTTTTCCTCATATGAATAACATCAGCGCACACACAGGACTCGTACAGTGTCGTGCTTTGGGCCACCTCCTCCAATCGGGCCAAACTCCCATCAGTGCCGCGTCTGAGCATGGTTCCATTGCACTCACACTGGACAATCTGCATTACGGCTGATCTGTGCTTGGGCACGGTTCTAAAGTCCTAGTGTGAGTGACCTATAATCTCAGTGTGAATAATTAGGAGGCACAGTATGTATAAGGTAAGTGATAATTATGGACCACTGAGAACTATTTAAAATGAACTAGATCTAGATGTGTTAGTGTCATATGCACCATCTCACACTCAGGGACCGGCCTCCTGCTGTAGTCTTGGTTTAGTCCTGGTTTAGTTCTGGTTTAGTCTTGGTTTAGCCTTGGTTTAGTCCTGGTTTAGTCCTGGTTTAGTCCTGGTTTAGTCCTGGTTTAGCCCTGGTTTAGTCCTGGTTTAGTCCTGGTTTACTGGTTTAGCCCTGGTTTAGTCCTGGTTTAGTCCTGGTTTAGTCCTGGTTTTAGTCCTGGTTTAGTCCTGGTTTAGTCCTGTTTAGTCCTGGTTTAGCCCTGGTTTAGTCCTGGTTTAGTACTGGTTTAATCCTGGTTTAGTCCTGTTTTGTCCTGGTTTAGCCCTGGTTTTGTACAGGTCTAGTCCTTTCATCTTGGTTCAGTCCTGGTTTAGTTTAGGTTTAGTCCTGGTTTAGTCTGGTTTAGTCCTGGTTTAGTACTGGTCTAGTTCTGTTTCAGTCCTGGTTTCAGACCTGGTTTAGTCCTGGTTTAGTTATTTCTGTTTAGTCTTGGTTTAGTCCTGGTTTAGCCTGTTTAGTTCTGGTTTAGTCCTGGTTTAGTCCTGGTTTTAGTCCTGGTTTAGCCCTGGTTTAGTCCTGGTTTAGTCCTGGTTTAGCCCTGTTTAGTCCTGGTTTAGTCCTGTTTCAGTCTGGTTTAGTCCTGGGTTAGCCCTGGTTTAGTCCTGGTTTAGTCCTGGTTTAGTCCTGTTTTCAGTCTGGTTTAGTCCTGGTTTAGCCCTGGTTTAGCCCTGTTTAGTCCTGGTTTAGTCCTGGTTTAGTCCTGGTTTAGTCCTGGTTTAGACCTGGTTTAGTCCTTGTTTAGTCCTGTTTAGTCCTGGTTTAGTCCTGGTTTAGTCCTGGTTTAGACCTGGTTTAGACCTGGTTTAGACCTGGTTTAGTCCTGGTTTAGTCCTGTTTCAGTCCTGGTTTAGTCCTGGTTTAGTCCTGGTTTAGACCTGGTTTAGTCCTGGTTTAGTCCTGGTTTAGACCTGGTTTAGACCTGGTTAGACCTGGTTTAGTCCTGGTTTAGTCCTGTTTAGTCCTGTTTAGTCCTGGTTTCAGTCCTGGTTTAGTCCTGGTTTAGACCTGGTTTAGTCCTGGTTTAGACCTGGTTTAGTCCTGTTTCAGTCCTGGTTTAGACCTGTTTAGTCCTGGTTTAGTCCTGTTTTAGTCCTGGTTTAGACCTGGTACCTGGTTTAGTCCTGGTTTAGTCCTGTTTAGTCCTGGTTTAGTCCTGGTTTAGTCCTGGTTTAGACCTGGTTTAGTCCTGGTTTAGACCTGGTTTAGTCCTGGTTTAGTCCTGTTTAGTCCTTTGGTTTTAGTCCTGGTTTAGTCCTGGTTTAGTCCTGGTTTAGTCCTGGTTTTAGACCTGGTTTAGTCCTGGTTTAGACCTGGTTTTACCTGGTTTAGACCTGGTTTAGACCTGGTTTAGTCCTGGTTTAGTCCTGTTTCAGTCCTGTTTCAGTCCTGGTTAGAGTCCTGGTTTAGTCCTGGTTTAGTCCTGGTTTAGTCCTGGTTTAGTCCTGGTTTAGACCTGGTTTAGACCTGGTTTAGACCTGGTTTAGTCCTGGTTTAGACCTGGTTTTAGAGTCTGGTTTACCTGGTTTAGTCCTGGTTTTAGTCCTGGTTTACCTGGTTTAGTCCTGGTTTAGACCTGGTTTAGTCCTGGTTTAGACCTGGTTTAGACCTGGTTTAGACCTGGTTTAGACCTGGTTTAAACCTCCTGCTGGTGCCCAGAATCAGGACTAAACATGAGGAGTCCGTGTTTCCTGAACATGTGAGACAGACCTCTGCTTTAAGACTCTTAAGACTGAAAATGTTTTTATTCTGCACTTTTTCTCTTTTAATGTAAATTGTGAGATGATTATTTACATTTTAATTTGTCTGTATTGTGATTTTAATGTCTTTGTTACTCTGTGAAGTGCTTTAAATTACTTTGTGTAAAAATGCTACACAAACAAACTCGCCTTGTTCTGTTTTTCACGTTTTAAAGAGTAAACATCAAGTACAGCGTCTTTAATTTCTTTTTTTTTTTTTTTTTTTTTTTGAGTGACATGCAATATAAGAAAAAGAAAATAAGTTCTAGTTGTAAACATGGCGTGTGTCTGTCATTTGTGCACATTTCAAATAAAGGACAGGCAATTTAAATGTCACCAGCTGAAGGACTTTAAAAGACACTCAGCTATAACTTTATAAACTTCATTGTTTGACGATGCCTGGTAAAGATACACTATGGAACTTTTCTGGTGAGGGTGCGTTACTTGAGAAGTGGCCCTGCTCGTGACAAGAATCTATGTTTTTTTTAGGTATTTTTGAGCAATTAAAACAGCTGAAACTGAAAAACACAAAACAGAAGTGTAATGACGTACTGTGGGACATTTCAGACAAAGTATTAATATCTCCATGGAAACAAGCAACCAACAGAAAAGTTACATAGTGCACCTTAAAGCAACCTAAAAACTAAAATACTGCAGATCAAACTACACTCGCTGCATTAAAGGGCTGTTGTAGTCCTGGTTCAGTCCTGGTTCAGTCCCGGTTTAGGGACCGGCTTTCTGTTGTAGTCCTGATGTAGACCTGGTTTCAGTCTTGGTTCAGTCTTGATTCAGTCCTGGTTCAGTCCTGGTTCAGTCCTACTTGAGACAAACTACACACCAATTTAAAAGCGCTCATATTACACAGTTTTTGGATCTTTGTTATAATGTTGTTTCCTCTTCAAAAACATGCCTGGAGTTGTGTTTTGTTTCATTCACACATGTTTAACACACAAACTTCTTCTTCAAAGTTCTTGCCCGGTCCACTTTGGCTGCGTTCAGACTGCAGCCTGAAGTGACCCAAATCCGATTTTTTGGCGTCTATGTGACCTGTATCCGAACTTTTAATGACAGTCTGAACGGCACAGATCCGAATTTTTCAAATGCGACCCAGGCCAATTGGATATGTGGTCCTGAATCCGATACATATCTGATCTTTTGACATGCGACTTCAGTCTGAACGGCCAAAGCGCATCCATCCGACCTACACGTCATTAACAAGCGACAAACGTCACTATTCTGCGCTGAAACAGGCGGAAACCGGAACTGTAAAATCGCCAGGTGCTCAATGCTCGCGACCATATTTGGCAACTTCCGTAAACACAGAGCACGCTCGCTGCGGTTGACGCATGGGGTTGACGTCATCGTGTCTCCAGTGCACATGCGGGACACTTTTCGGGCCGTTTACCGTTCACACTGGAGTCACAGACAAGTCGCATTTAATTGGAAATGTGAACGACCTCGCAAAAACATCGGATTTCACAAAAAAATCAGAATTGAGCATTAAACCCTGCTGTCTGAACGTAGCCTTTGTGATGTCATGTGGTAATACAGGAAGTACTCCAATGTGTTTTTAAACTCCATACACCTTCACTAGAATCATTTGGACAATTTCAGCTCTGGAATTACCAATCTCTACTGAACTAAATGTAAAAGGAGCTGTGAACTTGAATCTTACCGATTTCATGACATCACAAGGTGGAACAGAGCATTTTGAGCTTTGGAGATGTAGACAGACTAATAAAGAGTTACCGTATTTTTCGGACTAAAAGAAACACTTAAAATCCTTTAAATCCTTTAATTTTTTCAAAAATCAACAGTGCGTCTTGTGCTTACTGACCTCGAACAGATTTTAATGTGGTACACAGCGCGCAAAAAATTGTAAAAGATTTTAGTACGACTTTGGTAAACTACGAAGCCGCACCGCTCGATGGATTATCGGAGCATTACAGCTACTGCAGTCAGAAGCCTCGCCAAGTCTGACAGAAGCTGAACTGCATCAGTGCACAAGGAGTGAGCTGTTTTTTTTTTTCAGAGCTTATAGTTTATGCAAATTACTCATGTGGTTTTAAGTTTCATTTCTGTAAAACGTAAACAAATGTGCGCAAAGCTGCATTAAACACATTATTACTCAGTGTATATTTGAGTCCTCATCGTAGGAAATAAAAAACAAACTTAAATTATCCACCCACATTCACATTCATAAAACGCATTCATCAAGACAGAGAGGCAACGTCGGGCGAATTACACCACGATCTGCCAATGGATCGTGGACGCCTGGACTAAGGGATCAGTCTCAAGTGTCGTCCGTTTGTTTCTCTTAATGCGCCTTATGTAAGAAAATAGACAAGAGAATTCAACATTATTGATACTGCGCCTTATAGTCCGAAAAATACGGTATTCAAACACGTGTGAATGAAAACTCCAGGTATGTTTTTGATGAGGTAACAACATTATAACATGGTTTAAAGTTCACAAGAATATATTTTGTGTAATATAAGACCTTTAAAATTGAGGCACTAAACCAGAATAAACCAGTCTATTGAAAATTTATGGCTACGGAAACTGTCCTAACAGGCTATTTTAGTACCTGGTAACATGAATTTTTTACAGTATTCTAAAAATGTTCCCACAGAATAAAACGTACAACCTTTAATTGTAAAAACATGGTGGGTTTAAGTGTAATATTTCTGACAGGGATCCAAAAGCAGACCACAATCCTTCACCAGCGCTCACCTCCAGATGGGTTTTCCACACCTGCCCTGTTCCCGTCTGTCTCGCACAAACCGATGTAAACACGAGGATGTATCTGAGGCGCACAGACCAGAGGAAAATACGGCGACACTTACTGGTTTTTGTCCAGGGCCAAGAGCAGCTGTTCCCCCTCCACTTCAATCCGCAGCTTCAGAGACGAAGGGTGGATCTGAGGAAAAAACAGGAAACGAAATTACACCCAGAAACAATATAATAATAACATATTGTATATAATAAAATATTTATTCTGAATGTTCAAAGTGTTATTTTTATTCAGAATAGTGTTTGTTGTTCCTGGTTTAGCCCTGGTTTAGTCCTGGTTTAGTACTGGTTTAATCCTGGTTTAGTCCTGGTTTAGCCCTGGTTTTGTACAGGTCTAGTCCTGTTTCAGTCTTGGTTCAGTCCTGGTTTAGGCTTGGTTCAGTCCTGGTTCAGTCCTGGTTTAGTCCTGGTTTAGCCCTGGTTTAGCCCTGGTTTAGTCCTGGTTTAGACCTGGTTTAGTCCTGGTTTAGTCCTGGTTTAGCCCTGGTTTTGTACAGGTCTAGTCCTGTTTCAGTCTTGGTTCAATCCTGGTTTAGGCTTGGTTCAATCCTGGTTCAGTCCTGGTTTAGTCTTGGTTTAGTCTTGGTTTAGTCTTGGTTTAGTCCTGGTTTAGCCCTGGTTTAGTCTTGGTTTAGTCCTGGTTTAGTCCTGGTTTAGTCTTGGTTTAGCCCTGGTTTAGTCCTGGTTTAGTCCTGGTTTAGCCCTGGTTTAGTAGTGGTCTAGTCCTGTTTCAGTCCTGGTTTAGTCCTGGTTAAGTCCTGGTTTAGCCCTGGTTTAGCCCTGTTTCAGTCTTGGTTTAGTCCTGGTTTAGCCCTGGTTTAGTCTTGGTTTAGTCTTGGTTTAGTCCTGGTTTGGTCCTGGTTTAGTCCTGGTTTAGTCCTGGTTTAGTCTTGGTTTAGTCCTGGTTTAGTCCTGGTTTAGCCCTGGTTTAGCCCTGGTTTATTCCTGGTTTAGCCCTGGTTTAGCCCTGGTTCAGTCTTGGTTTAGTCCTGGTTTAGCCCTGTTTCAGTCTTGGTTTAGTCCTGGTTTAGCCCTGTTTCAGTCTTGGTTTAGTCTTGGTTTAGTCCTGGTTTAGCCCTGGTTTAGCCCTGTTTCAGTCTTGGTTTAGTCCTGGTTTAGCCCTGGTTTAGTCTTGGTTTAGTCCTGGTTTAGTCTTGGTTTAGTCCTGGTTTAGTCCTGGTTTAGCCCTGGTTTAGTCCTGGTTTAGTCCTGGTTTAGCCCTGGTTTAGTAGTGGTCTAGTCCTGTTTCAGTCCTGGTTTAGTCCTGGTTAAGTCCTGGTTTAGCCCTGGTTTAGCCCTGTTTCAGTCTTGGTTTAGTCCTGGTTTAGCCCTGGTTTAGTCTTGGTTTAGTCCTGGTTTAGTCCTGGTTTAGTCTTGGTTTAGTCCTGGTTTAGTCCTGGTTAAGTCCTGGTTTAGCCCTGGTTTAGCCCCGTTTCAGTCCTGGTTTAGTCCTGGTTTAGCCCTGGTTTAGTCCTGGTTTAGCCCTGGTTTAGTCCTGGTTTAGTCCTGGTTTAGCCCTGGTTTAGTAGTGGTCTAGTCCTGTTTCAGTCCTGGTTTAGTCCTGGTTAAGTCCTGGTTTAGCCCTGGTTTAGCCCTGTTTCAGTCTTGGTTTAGTCCTGGTTTAGCCCTGGTTTAGTCTTGGTTTAGTCCTGGTTTAGTCCTGGTTTAGTCTTGGTTTAGTCCTGGTTTAGTCCTGGTTTAGTCCTGGTTAAGTCCTGGTTTAGCCCTGGTTTAGCCCTGGTTTAGTCCTGGTTTAGCCCTGGTTTAGTCCTGGTTTAGTCCTGGTTTAGTCCTGGTTTAGTCCTGGTTTAGCCCTGGTTTAGTAGTGGTCTAGTCCTGTTTCAGTCCTGGTTTAGTCCTGGTTTAGCCCTGGTTTAGTCCTGGTTTAGCCCTGGTTTAGTCCTGGTTTAGTCCTGGTTTAGTCCTGGTTTAGCCCTGGTTTAGTAGTGGTCTAGTCCTGTTTCAGTCCTGGTTCAGTCCTGGTTTAGACCTGGTTTAGACCTGGTTTAGTCCTGTTTCAGTCCTTATTCAGAATAGTGTTTGCAAGTGTATTTAATTCCAAGTTTTAGTCATGATTATGAGTAGTAGGTAGTAATCCAGACAGTAGTATTAGTCGTAGTTGCAGTCAGGGTTGAAGTAGAAGTAGTGGAAATTATTTAGAACTTTTCAATATAACCAAAACGTTAAAAAACTCAAAGCTAAACTGTGCCACTTTGTCCCTTTGTCCACCATCAAAACTCACACACCGACATTCATTCTGGACAAGGCAGGTGAAGTGTCTTGCTTAAGGACACAACAACAGTAAACTCTAGTACTGAGGTCAGACGAGATGCAGCTTTTTCAGTGTATATGGTTGTTGTTGTAGTAGTAGTACTAGCAATACTAATAGTAGTAGTAGTAGTAAGAGTAGTCGTAGTAGTAGTAGAAGTAGTAGAAGTAGTAGTAGTAGTAGTAGAAGTAGTAGTAGTAGTAGCAGTAGTGGTAGCAGCAGTGGTAAGAGTAGTAGTAGTAATTGTGGTAACAGTAGCAATACCACTAGTAGCAGTAGTAGTAGTAGTAGTAGCAGTAGTAGTAGCAGTAGTAGAAGTAAGTAGTAGCAAGTAGTAGTAAGCAGTAGTAGCAGTAGT